TTTTATGTCTTCTACTTACTATTTTTGTCATTTCAAGTTAAGAAAAATTAAAACATTAAATTAGTAGCATTTTTATATTGATCAATACCTGCTTGAAATACAAATATAAGAGATCTAACCCATATGGAGGAACACCAAAATTACACGTCAACATTCCATAGCTCATGTGAGCATATGCATACAGTGGAGATGCTGCACCAAATTAAGGGAATTGTCTTTATTTCACCTCCTGATGTATGCACATTCTGTCAACTCTGCTTTGAACTTACCGATGGCTAAGGAAGAACTGAGAAGAAAATATTCTCCCTACCTTTTCCTTTCCTTCTCCATCATAATTTCCAGTGCAAATAAATAATACAGGAAAGTAACAGGAGCAACTTTTGCCTTCTTTCTGTACTTAAAGCAAGTTCCAGTACAGATGGGAAGCAGCGACTCTCCCCACTCAGACTTCGGACCCTCAGACTCTCCTCACTAGTCCTCACCCTGTGATGGTGTTGGATCTCACAGAACTCTCAGTACTGGTGGCATTCTGTTCTCAGGGGAACATCACATGTGCATGGAATAACAATAACCGCAAATATTTGAATTATATATACATACCCCTCCCATTCATGTTGATTGTTCCACATACTTCTCTTTCAAAATGAAATTCAACGAGAAAAGCATTAAGAAGTTTGAGGCAGTTACAACAGAGCATAAAGCCAAGCACAGGGCCTCTCTCAACTCAGAGCCCCATGTGACAGCACAGGTTGCATGCCCTGGCCCTCTGCAGTTACTAATATCAGTCATTAAAACATGGCTGGGGAAATAGAGCAGGGAGGAAGAGCATGAGAAGAAGATTATCATTAAACAGGGACGAGAGGTGGGAGGGAAAGGGAGAGAAAAGGGAAATTGCATGGAAATGGGAGGAGACCCTCATTGTTATACAAAATTACATATAAGAGGAAGTGAGGGGAAAGGGGAAAAAACAAGGGAGAGAAATGAATTACAGTAGATGGGGTAGAGAGAGAAGATGGGAGGGGAGGGGAGGGGAGGGGAGGGGAGGGGGGATAGTAGAGGATAGGAAAGGCAGCAGAATACAACAGACACTAGTATGGCAATATGTAAAAACGTGGATGTGTAACCCATGTGATTCTGCAATCTGTATATGAGGTAAAAATGGGAGTTCATAATCCACTTGAATCAAATGTATGAAATATGATATGTCAAGAGCTATGTAATGTTTTGAACAACTAATATTAATAATAATAAACATAGCTGGGGAAACTGGTAAAATAGTATTTTCAGGATCTAGCTTTGAAGGTTCTTGTAAAGGTCGTGTAAAGTAGGTTTGTTTATTTTTTTACACACTCTCTGGTTGATTGAATTGAACTCCCAGGTTTAGGAAACATGGCCCTAGAACAATTACAACCTTTTAAAATACGGTTCACCTCCCAGTCCCCAGCCCTAACAAGTCAACTGCTTTTCTTTCTCTTACCTACTGCCTCACTGAGGGAAGGTCCAGAGTGGAAGGAGTGGTAGAGGAAAGGAAAGCCACCCAACGGGACCATGGCATGGGAAGAGCATGTCTGTTTGATAATCTAATTGACCCTCTGGCTCTCCTCTCCTGCTTCTGGTTCATCCCCACTCCTAAGCTCCGGGGCATGTCTGTAGGAAGGAATGCCTAGAAACTGGAGTTGGGCACTTCCGCAAGACTGCTCCTTTCCTAAGTTTCTTACTTCATAACCCACCCTCTCATCCCACCTGACCCTTTAAGCTAATTTCTTGAGAATCATTGTCAACTTCTCCCTCTTCACCACCTTTTCATCCAAATTGATCTATCCTTTAAATTTTTCCTTCTAAATCACACACACACAAAAAAAAAAAAAAACACTTGTGCCTTTTTTCTGTCCCCTGTGCCATTGCCTTAATTTCACTAGACCTTTATCATTCCTCTTCTGAGTCACTGGGTGACCGCCGGGTGAGGTTCCTCATCTGCCTCTATGTTCTTCCCCAACATTACTATGAGATTCTTCAAAATCCAGATCTATCATCGTCCTCCCATTCTAGATCCTTTCATGATTCCACAGAGTCTTAAAACATTTTGATCATTCCTCATAGCATATTCTGCCCTTGAATCGAGCCCTTTCTGCCTATTCAGTTTCTTTTCCTGCCACAGACAGTAAATACCAGATTTCAGCATTTCTTCCTGGTTTTTTAATGCTGCTTCTTCAACTTTGAACAGTGCTCTTCAGCACCCCTCCCTTCCTTATCCATCAGCAAACTATTGCTGTTCATCGTTTCATAGATTAGCTTGGAAACCAATTCAAAAATCATCTCCTCTGAATTTCCCGATCCTTCTCCCTACCCCATCTTAATGACTGTCCCCACGTCATTTCTACCATGCTTCCCAGGGCACTTAAGGAAAAAAGAACAAAAACTCCTGTCTCCCCCTAACCATGCTGTTGAGCACATTGAGCAGGATGTTGCTCCTAGCATGATATAAATTCTCAATACTGGAGGAAGGAGGAGTGATGGCAATACATAAAGGCAAGAATATGACTATAATGAAGCTACTCTTTCTTCATCTTGCTGTTCAGCTGGCAGAATATGGCTCCCCTTCGAACAACCTACACAATATGAAAGGCAATTCAAATCCCCAGCAGAATTTCACAAAAATATCCTGATTCACACCCTGCACAAAAATCTCACAGTTTTCCTTTCCCAGCCCTCTCTCTCAATTTCTTCTCTACCCCAAGAGCTGCCTAAAAAAACTGTCTCCAATCTCTAGTAATAGCTTTTTGTTTCTGCCTTTCTAACTGCTGTCCTGGATCAATATTTTCCCCTAAGAGTTCTTTTCATTTTAAATATATGACTTGACCAATCTGTTGAAGCATTGTAGGTGGAGAGAGAGAGGGAGAGAGAGACTTTCTTTTTTTTTTCTTTTTGAAAATTAGATCTTTATTTTTTTTATTATTAGTTGTTCAAAACATTACAAAGTTCTTGACATATCATATTTCATACATTTGACTCAAGTGGATTATGAACTCCCATTTTTACCCTATATACATATTGCAGATTCACATTGGTTACACATCCACTTTTTACCTACTGCCATACTAGTGTATGTTGTATTCTGCTGCCTTTCCTATCCTCTACTATCCCCCCCACTCCCCTTCCCTCCCCTCCCCTCACCTCCCTTCCCATTTTCTCTCCCTACCCTATCTACTATAATTCATTTCTCTCTCTTGTTTTTTTCCCCTTTCCCCTCACTTCCTCTTATATGTAATTTGTATAACAATGAGGGTCTCCTTCCTTTACCATGCAATTTCCCTTCTCTCTCTCTTTCCCTCCCCCATCTCGTCCCTATTTAGTGGTGATCTTCTTCTCATGCTCTTCCTCTCTATTCTGTTCTTAGTTGCTCTCCTTATGTCAAAGAAGACATTTGGCATTTATTTTTAAGGGATTGGCTAGCTTCACTTAGCATAATCTGCTCTAGTGCCATCCATTTCCCTGCAAATTCTATGATTTTGTCATTTTTTAGTGCAGAGTAATACTCCAGACTTTCTATACATTCCCAATGGAATTGGTCAGTGGTATGTCACTTCATACAAATGGTCTCACTATGGGTGCATATTTGACTCACCTAGAGAGCTTTCAAAACTGCCCAGCACAGCCCCATGGCAGACCTTCAGAAGTAGGTCTTTACAGAAGTAGAGTTCAGGTATATCCAAGTAATATTTCTGTCTTCTGTTTTCCAGTGCCTTAGGAAGCCCACCTCCCTACCCTGTCTAGAAACCCAATCCCTGCAGATATTTCTCTCTAATCAGACTAACAATAGAAGCCATGTCAGCAGACGAGGTATCATCCTTATAAGTACAAAAGTGGGAGACTATACTCAGAAGAAATTTTGTTCGTATCCCTGGACTCATTTTTTCTTCCCCACCTATGCTTAAATGTCTTACTTCTATGGGTTCTTATATTCTTCCTGCAAGCAATTTTTGCCTCAATTCCCTGCCTGCAAGCTTTAATATCGAGGTCCTCTTTTACACCAGTCAAAAAAAAAAAACAATAATTGTGTGACATATTTGGGTCTCTGATCTCTCCTGCCTTGCATTTGCCAATCAACCCAGAGCACTCTAATCTCATGGATCTTGCTGCTCGGATCTTCCTCTAGTGACTGATGTTGGGTTTTACCCAACTACTTTCTTTTTCCTATGGGTCTTCAAGCTGTCTTCCTGAAACTCACTCACTATGCCACATAGTTGACTCTGAACAGAAGGAAGAGAGAGAGAAAAGGGAACACAGAAACAACCCAATAACAAGTCATTGGGGCCATGGTCAAACGCTTTTACAATAGAACAATGATAACATACTCTGAACAATCATGGGAATAAGTGGTTCTGTCTATGCTCAACAAGTCATAGAGAGAATTTAGAAGCTGATACTGTGTTATCTTAGCCTTTTGAATTTTGTTAACTACCAGTATTCTGCTTCATCCTAAAGTTCTCTTTGTTGTAAATTACTTACTGAGTTTCATTCAGACAAATAAGGAAATTCTAATATCGTTCATCTCTTAGGTATTGAGCATCCCTGGCTTAATTAGAACCCTTCTACCTTCAAAGAAATAAACTATTCATTCTCAGTTTCTGGGGGTGTGAATAATAATAGCCAGTTGCTCACATGCCTGAAAAGCCAATAAGAAACTTCATGTCATCCCAGCAGCTTAGGAGGCTGAGGCAGGAAGATCATGAGTTCAAAGCCAGCCTCAGCAACTTAGCAAGGCCCTAAGCAATGCAATGAAACCTTGTCTCTAAATAAAATATTAAAAATCACTCAGTGGTTAAGTGCCCCTGAGTTCAATCCCTGGTACCAAAAAGAAAAAAAGAAGAAAAATAACTCAATGTCTGTTATAACCATGATGATCTATAATTCAGACCCAGACAGTAAAACTGAGCTGAGCTGACTGGACTCCTGAATTACCTCTCAGTGAGTGCTCCTTGTGTATCTTTTCATTCCAGGGCTCAATGGCGATGACTTCCTGGCAGTGGGTCTGCTGAACGGCAGTGTGGTTTACAGTTATAACCTGGGATCTGGCATAGCAAGTGTCAGGAGTGAGCCCCTCAATCTGAGCCTTGGAATCCACACTGTCCGTCTGGGGAGATTCTTCCAAACAGGCTGGATGAAGGTAAAGAGATTTCACTTCATCTGTCCCAAAATTTACATGCTGGTGTATTAGTGCTCAGGTGCCAAGGCAGGCAGGACATGATGCCGTCACCTGTGGAGTTTACACTCAGTGCACCAAACAGGAGAGGAGAGATGACCACAATTAGGTGGTGTACGAGTCAGTCAGAGGGATTACTAACATAGGTAAAGCTAAGAAACGGGGTTCAGGAAATGCCTCCCAGAAACGGTGATGCTTGAGCATAACTTTGGATAAACAGAAGGTAGGAAAAAGAATAATAGCCAGTATGAGGTTAAGGAACACAAGCAGTTTTGTGTAGTTCTCAGATCAGGGAGTTGGACAGCAAGAGAGATTCGTGGTAGACAAGGTCTGTATTATCAAGTATGCATATATCAAGCTAGGAAGTTGAGAGTTTTATTCAGAGAGCTGTGGAGAGACACTTAAGATGGGGGGAGATTTGGGTATCATGATTCATTTCTATTTTTTAACAAATGAGTCTGGTGGATATATTGAAAATGAATGGGGCCAAGGCTAGACGGAGGGGTACCAGCAGGATGCCAGTTCCTAATCTTTGAAGAACTGTGATTTTGATTGAAATCCAAAACCATGACTGCTATATTAATATATCTTTCTTAACAGACACCAGCAGAGAAGCAGAAAATTGAGTAGTTTCATGTTCTTTATTTCTTCAAAATTCTAGTCTTTATAAATTTTTCATGCCAAGTTAATGGGAAATAACAAAAGAATATCTTAACAGTTCACCCTAGGAAATTAATTCACCCTGGGGAATTAATGCCTTTTTTAATAGGTTTTGATTTTTTTTTTCCTTTCAAAGGTAGATGACCATAAAAATAAGTCTGTCATCTCCCCAGGAGAACTGGTTGGTCTCAATGTCTTCAGTCAGTTTTATGTAGGTGGTTATAGTGAATACACTCCAGATCTCTTACCAAATGGAGCCGATTTTAAAAATGGTTTTCAAGGTAAGACACGAGCAGTTTTTCTACTATAGCTATTTGTATTGAGTATTAAAAGAAAGAAAATGCTTTTAAAGAATATATGTGCAGTTCACAAACCAGCCATGTGGGTTGTTTTCTAATCAAATTTAATCAAAGTTTTATCGAAAACTTTGCTCATCATTTTGTTGATCACTTACCACATGCTTTACTAAATGTTTAGGTTTTTTTAATGTTTTCAAAACAGAGATGCCTACGTTTGTAAATTTGCATTCTATTTGGATTAGAGGGAACAACAATAAATACTAAATATAATAGAGAAGTAAATTACCTAGTAGAATAATGTGATAAATCCTATGAGGATGAAAGGAAATGTAGAATATGATCTGGAGAGGATCAGAAAGACAAGTAATTCTTTACCTAGGATACTTTTTAATGTAGGCTGACAGAGTTAGAGGAAAAGTTGAAACTCTGCCTAATTTCGGAGTGTACTCCATACAAAAGGTGAGAAACTGAAGTCAACCCGCCCATACCACCAAGATGTGGCCTACAGAGGCCACCCCAAGCCAAGAGGAATAAGAGGAAACATTGTGCTTCATCGAACAATTGAATTACCATACTCTGTTTCCTTGTGTTCAAAAAGAAACACTGGTTCAGAACTCCCTTATAAAGCTTATTCAGAGTAGAGTTATGAAATAAAAAATGTGCTTTGAACTGAAATAATATTCACTTGTGAATAATCTTTGTGGTGGAGAGTATTTGGTCACAGGGCTACTCATGTGCTGTCCTCACTCAGCCAGTCACCCAGGGAGCCTATTCTCCATCAGAAGTCTGGATGTAGGGGCCTGGAGGGTAAAGTGCATCTCTGGAGAGGGAGCTGCCCTCCAGAACAGCCCAGGCACTTCAGTTCTCCACCTGCCTGGCAGCCTTCTTTTCACCACCCCCTGATGCCTGCCCAAACACAAATGAAGACGCCACTGTACTTGAAATATGTGAAAACAACATAGCTAATCCTGTATAACACAAGGTCAGGTTCTAATAAAGTTACTTCATTCTGCCAAGGCTATCAAAGAAAATTTTTCTTTGAATATATAATCAGTACTGATTCTCTGAAGAGTGTCTTAAAGATCAGTTTAAAGCATATTATGGCACTGTGCTAAAATGTAATAAAGAACTCAACAGCTCTTTCCTAACAGGAGATAATCTGAAAGGGATTGTACAGACATAACAAATCAATGAGTTTTTAAAAACATTATATTCAAGGGAAGAGATGGGTAAGCTTATGAATGTGAAGAAGTACATCTTCCACCCAGTAGAGACATTTTGCGGGGTGACCAAAACGTGATGTGGCTTATTCCCAGGCACAGTTCACACATAAGAACTTTGGGTTAGATAATTCCTCTATGTGAGGAGTAGCAATTGCATAAGGATCAGAGCATAAACTCCACTAGACCACTGCCAGGGTATGTGCCCTAGCTCCAGCTGGTTTGTCACCTCATCTCCTATGCCTCAACTGTAAAATGGGATAATAACAGCACTTCTCTCGCTATGTCATTCTGAGAGTAATTTACTGGAGAGAGAACACAAATTCATGCCTGGTTTAGTGAGAATCCTCATTAGCAATGATAACAGTGCTGGAGGTGGCAGAGGAACAGCTTCATCATACACTTGCCTTCTTCTCTGCTCCACAGACAGTGGTGGAGGGCTCGGGCTCTGCAACAGACTGTCTTCAGATACAGATTCTGCCACCTAGAAGCTGTGTGACTTTAGCTTGCTACCTAACTCTGGGCCTCCATTCTCTCCTGTGTAAAATAAAGATCCCTATCCCATAGGGCTCTTATGGGTTAACCAATTAAGCAAAATAATTATGCTAAGTGTTTTGCCCAAAAACCAGTCCACAATAAACACGAATAAATATTATTAATAACTCCATCCTGCTGTCATAGGCTTTGATGTTTTCAAATTTATTGAAGTACAATGCTTCCTGGTTTTCTTTTGTGCTGTTTTTCCCCCATTCTATTGGGATCTTTTCTTCATATTTTAACAATGAGAACAAAGAGAGGATTTTTGTCAAGACCTGTCACTTTCTCCTGAAGTGTGACAATGAGCCCGAGTCCAACACGTGAACAACTGACCCTTTTGACAGAAACACTGGGACTGTATACTCCTGGGAGCTTCTCAGCTGCTGCTGTTCTTGGTTAGGATGAGCATCTTCTTGGTAATTGCCACTTAGTTCCAAGTCTTGTGAGAGATCTAAGACCCTGGAAGCCCCTCGGTTTATCATTTGTCTCTTGAATCTTTTCTCAATATGTCTTCCTCCATTATAAACTAGCATTTACTATTTGTTACAAACCATGCATGTACAATTATTACCAGCTTAATATAACAACCAAATATACCAGAAATCCATATTTCCCCAAAACTCTACCATCTCTAAAGAATCATAAGCACTAACTTCTTAAAAATACAGACTTCTGCATCCTACCCCAGAACTACTTAATTGAAATCCCTCTGATGGGGTATAAAATTTTACATTTTTAACAATATTCCCCAGATTTGGAAACAACTACATTATTTAATAATAACAAAGCAAATAGAATTTTATAGAAGAATTTACTCGTCAGGGTAGAGTTAGCACATTTGTCTAAATAATGGCAACTAAATTACATGATAAAAGATTATGTGATTTAGGCTTTCACATTTCTGTAAACACTCTTGATAAATAACTCTACTCCAAAAGTTTGACATCTAAACTATAAATCCTTACTGCAAATAAAGTCCATTTTTTTTGTTGTTGTTCTGGAAATGACTTATAATAAGCCATCTCTTTTCCTATGGCCTTTAATGTTCATGAAGACACTGAGGTTAACCAGGTTAAATAATTTACATATGCCAGGCAAACAGGGCCACAGTGCTTTACCTGACCTAATGAGAGCATCTCCTTTGCTGTCCAAAGTTGCATCTATTATAAAGCTGGTGAGTTCTTAGGTTAAGGTTCATAGTCTTTAGACTGGACATGAAAGGAAGGAAAGAAGATAGAAGTAGGGGGTGAAGGAACAGAAAGCAGGTGAGGGGAGAAGAAACTAAAAATGTTAGACCACAAGTGAGAATAAGCTATTATTCTCTATTACCTGTAGAAAATCTTGTTACACAATTAAATGTTCTAAAGACTGCTGCAGGAAAAGAACTAGAGTCAAACATCTCATCTCACTAAAATGCCTTTCTCATACACTCCTCTATTTCTTTTACTATCATTACCAGTCTTCCCAGTACTTGTTTGAATCCTTTGTGCAATAGTTCTCAAAGTGTGGTCCCTGCACCAGCAACATTAGCATCACTGAAAAATTTGTTGGAAATAAAATTCTTACTAAACCTGAAACTTTGGACATAGGTTCCAGCAATGGATTTTAATGATCCCTACATGTGATTCTGGTACAGCTGAAGTTTGAGAACTGCAGCTTCCTGTCATCTTGAACTCCTCACACCAGCCTTATTACCTGCCACATCAGAACACTCTTGACACACTGTTGCCTGCTCAAAAACTCAGCAAGCACTCTATCAATTCTTTTGATCCAGCTATCCCATTCCTCAGTTTATACCCAAAGGACTTGAAATCAATATACTACAGTAATGCAGCCATGTCAGTGTTTATAGCAACTCAATTCACAATAGCTAAACTATGGAACCAACCTATTGTGTCTTTCAATAGATGAATGGATAAAGAAAATGTGGTATATATATTCAATGGAATATTACTCAGCTTTAAAGAAGAATGAAATTATGGTATTTGCCAGTAAATAGATGGAGTTGGAGAACATCATGCTAAGCGAAATAAGCCAACCCCCCAAAACCAAAGGCCAAATGTTTTCTCTGATATGCAGATGCTAATTCACAATAAGGGGGGGACACTAGAAAAGAATAGAGTTACCTTAGATTAGGTAGAGGGAGGTGAAAGAGGGAGGAAAAGGAATGTGAAGATAGGAATGATAGTAGAATGAAACAGACATTATTACATTATGTATGTATGTGACTACATGAACAATGTGATTCCACAACATATACACTCAGAAAAATGAGAAATTTTATCCCATCTAGGTATGATGTATAAAAGTGTATAAATGCATGCTATTATCATGTATAACTAATTTAAACAAATAATTTTTAAAATAAAATAAAAAATAAAGTAATGGCTGAATGCTTTACTGAGCATTGTAAAGCCCACTTAACTTTCCCATATTTACCTTGCCTCGCCACATTCTTTGTTCCATAAAAAACTATTTCTCTCAGTCAAGGATCTCCAGAGAAACAGAACCAATAGGGCGTTTATATTTATATAGAGATAAAGAGAATTTAAAGTAATTGGCTTATATGATTATGGAGCCAAGAGCTGTAGTCAGCAAGCTGGAGTGCTGATGTATACCAGGGGAGAACCAGGGGAGCCAGGGGGGTAAGCAGCAGTCTAAAAACCATCAAATTCAGGACCAAAAAATAGCTGCTGTTTCAGCGCAAACAAGAAGGCTGGAAGTCAAATACACCAGGTTAAGCAACCAGGCAGGAGTCCCCTTCTGCTCAGCCTTTTTGTTCAGGTCTACAATTGATTGGATGGGTCCCATCTACATTAGGGAGGGCGATTCACTTAGTCAATAATTCAAATGTTAATGTTATCCAGAAACACATACACACATACACTCTCTCTCTCTGTTTGGTCAATATATAGACTTCCTATGTCCCAATCAAGTTGACACATAAAATTAACTGTCATAATATCTAATCATTTGTGTGTGTGTATGTATGTGTGTGTTATTTTCCCTGCCTGAGCCCTTTCTCAAAACAATGCCCTTCACCACTTTAAATTCCATTTGCCTTGAAGGCCAGCTCAAACCCATCTCCCCAATGAGGGCCTGGTGAAAAGATTAAAAACTCCTTTCTTTCTAGTTTTTCTTTAAAAATGTGTGTGTGTGTGTGTGTGTGTGTGTGTGTTGCATTATCTATAATCACCCTACTATGCTATAGCTTAATTTCTAACAATGGAATATATGAGTCAATTGTTTAATAATTGAAGGTTGATTAAATATATTATAAAGATTATTTTGTCATCACATAAAAATGTTTTAATACTTTTAAGAAAAAAGAGTAAGCAGTGGGCTAGGGTTGTGGCTCAGTGGTAGAGCACTTGCCTAGCACATGGGAGGCACTAGGTTCGATCCTAAGCACCACATAAAAAAATAAATAAATAAAGTTTAAAAAAGGAAAAGAGTATTTCAATGTTCAATTTTTGGCATAATATTACATATCATATAGTTTAATTCAAGATTTCACTTTCATTTAAAAGTACAACTAAATGTAGGCGAAAAGACCATAAATACATATGTGCAAGTCAAATATTAATAGGTATGTTCTCTGAAATGCTGATACTATGTATAACTTTTTACTTTTCTCTCTATGATTTTGTTTTTTGTATTATTTCTTAAAAATGTATATTTATTACTTTATTTTGAAAACTCACTTTAATAATGAAAGAAGTACTGTCACCTAGTTTCACTTGTTAACACGAGTGTCTTGGCCCTTCTTCAAGGTTGCATTTTCACTATTGAAGTTCGTACAGAGAAAGATGGCCATTTCAGAGGCCTTGGAATTCCCGAGGGCCACCCAAATGCCGGGCGCAGCGTTGGCCAGTGTGAGGCTTCTCCCTGCAGTTTAATGAAATGTGGCAATGGGGGAACGTGCATAGAGAGTGGATCTACTGTTTAGTAAGTATGAAATCTTCAGGAAAGACAACAGCAGATTAATTTGCTCTCTAACAGGTGCTCCGCTCCAACTGGTACTGAACTTGCCTGACCTAGTAACACAAACCTAGTTCATATTTAAAATGTTTTTATGTAGATTTGTAGATGAGTGAAGAACAGTCAAAGGCAACTAGAAGTAGAATCAGCACAGCACACCTCAATACTGTTAAACAATGAAAATGAATCACTGTATCTCATTCCAAACACCATTGAAAATATAGCTTAAATTCATAATATTGAGAGTGGACAGAAACGTTAATCATAAAAAGCCTATATTCAGGACTTGTATTTGTACTTAGGTTTGAGCTCCTTTAGAAGGACCTCCTCTAAGTGAGTGTTGTGGTTTAGATGTGAGTTGTCCCCCAGGTACTCATGTATCAGACAATGCAAGAAGGTTCAGAGGAGAAATTAGTGGGTTGTAAGAGTCTTAACCTAATCAGTGAATTAATCCCCTGGAGAGGGATTAACTGAAAGGTAACTGAAGTGGTAGGGTGTGGCTGGATTTTGCAAATTGTTTTCATAAACATAGAAATTTTCTTGAGTTGAAATAATGAAAGTAATGCCTTATAATTTTATAGCACTTTGGGGGGTAACAAAGCAGTTTCTTACATACTCTACTTCAAAACTGGGGCGTGGCTCTAGGGTATATATTTTTATCCGGAGATCGGAGTCTCTCTCTCTGCTTCCTGATCACCATGTGAGCTGCTTCCCTCTGCCACACTCTTCCTCCTTGATGTTCAGCCTCACCTCAAGCCCCAAGGAATAGAGGCGGACTTCTATGGACTAAGACCTCTGAAACCATGAGCCCTCAAATAAATTTTCCTCCACTACAGTTGTTCTGGTCAGGTCCCCTAGTCACAGGAGTGAAAAAAGCTGACTAAAACAGTGGGCAATAGCAAAGCTATACAATTTGGCTTCTGTACTACTTTAGTATGAAATTACACATAAATCTAGTAAGTGGGGGAAAAAGAGAAAGGAATTTGGCCTTACTAATAACTTCTTTTGTTGAGCACCTGCCCAGTGCAAAAGTAGTTAAGAGGGGCTCTGGGAATATGCTATAGAAAGAAGAAAGCACACCTTCAATTCCTTACACTGTAGCTATGTATGCATTTCTTATATCATACATATATAAGAGAGAATTAAAGAAGTGATTTATCAAAATAAGCCCAGCTTGGTGGAGCACATCTGTAATCCCAGTGGCTCAGGAGGCTGAAGCAAGAGTTCTGCACATTCAAAGTCAGTCTCAGCAACTTAGCAAGTCCATAAGCAATTTAGTGAGAACCAGTCTCAAAATTTTAAAAATGAAATAAAAAGGGCTGGGGATGTGGCTCAGTGGTTAAACATTACTGGGTTCAATCACTGGAAGGAAGGAAGGAAGGAAGAAAGGAAGGAAGGAGGGAGGGAGGGAGGAAGAAAGAAAGAAAGAAAGAAAGAAAGAAAGGGGAGAAGGGGGAGGGGGAGGGGAAGGGGGGAGAGGGGAGCGGGGAGAGGGGAGGGGGGAGGAGAGAGAGACTGATTTGTCAAAATGTTTCCCACAGAACACCTCAGGAGGTCTGATGCACTTCACTAGGAGCAGTGACTCACTGCAGAGTGGCTGAGGAAGGAGGGTGGCTCTGGAGGACCAAGATGGAAGAGGGCATAATTTTTAAAGCAATAAGTGTATCTCTTATACTCCCTGAAAAATTCCCCTTCATTTTCTCACTAGAAAATGAACAGAGCATTGAACCCAGAGGTATTTCACCACTGAGTTACATACCCAGCCCTTTTTCTTGTTTATTTTGAGACATGGTCTCACTAAGCTGCTGAGAGCCTCACTGAGTTTCTGAGGCTCACCTCAAACTTGAGAGCCTCCTGCCTCAACCTCCAGAGTCACTGGCATTCAGGCATGCACCACCTCTCCTAGCTCACAATGAAATGTCTTAAAGAAAAACATACATAGTTTGACCAAGCTCATGGAAGTACTAGGGGATAAAACTTGAGGTTGGGGATACCATCCCCATAGAGCAATATCTTTACCATTATGATCATATCATTATTCTCTACAACTTTTAATGAAACTTTTCATTTGACTTGTAACTTATGCCCTCTAATTTTCTCTACAAATTAGAAGCACAGATGTCCCTCCATTTATCTGAAGGAATGTGGTTATTCTCCAGGTGATAGCACTAGACATTCTTGCTAATTTTAGTGTGATAATAAACAATAGTAATTAATGTGATAATAAGCAGGAACCTGAAAGGAGTGGCAATAAGCACCTGGAAATAAATAAAGATGGAAATGCAAAATTCATCCCAATTTCTCATTATTTCTATGGAAAGAGGGCTGGTTTAAATTTGAAAGCCACAAGTGTTTAACTTGGAATATATAGCATCAAGTATAGGTAGGTATTTAGAACTATTTGCAAATTGTTTTCATAAACATAGAAATTTTCTTGAGTTGAAATAATGAAGGTAATGCCTTATAATTTTACAGCACTTTGGGGGGTAACAAAGCAGTTTCTTACATACATTGCTCCTCATTCAAAAACTCTCTAAATTATTCAAGCCGGTATCCCAATTCCAATTTAACAGTTGGAAAGATGAACCCCAGAGATTGTGAGTAAGCAACAGAATGTATGGGCACTCTGAAAGTAGTACCATGGGACTGAAACCCAGAACTTCCAGCTGCTGGGTGGATACTGTCCAGGATCTACATAGTACTAAGTGAACTTAAGAACAGCTAGTGACTTAATTGAGGTAACAAAAATGGTAAGCGCTCTTTATTTTTGGATATAATTTGTTTATCTGCTTTTAATTTAAAAAACAATGGTGACGTTATCTTCAGTTGACAGTTCGTGCTCTCTCTAAATTGGAAATTCCTTGGCTTATATACACATTGCCTGGGGATTTCATAAATCACTCTGTGGGTAAAAAGCTCTATCTCAGAGTCAAACATGAAAGCTTTAATTTGAATAACAAAAAGACTTTAACAATAATTTGGAATGAGAATGATACATCTAACAAGTTTCCTCACAAATTCTTAAAGTTTTTAGTATCAAAATTGTGACCAGTTTTGGGCCAGGCATGGTGGTGTACACCTGTAATCCCAGCTACCTGGGAGGCTGAGGCAAGTTCAAGGCCATCCTCAGCAATTTAGTGAAGCCCTAAGCAACTTAGAGAGATTCCACTTCAAAATTTTAAAAAATAAAATAAAAAGATTGGGGATGTAGCACAATCGTAAAGCAACTCTGAATTTAATCCCTAGTACTTAAAAAAAAAAAAAAAAAAAAAAACTGTGACCAGTTTTGGGAGCCTCTTGTTGATATAATCAAAAAAATATATCTACTCTATTAATTACTTTGCGGAACATTACTATAGAGTCAAATTAGCTCTTCTGTCTATTGAAGGATATGGAAATGAAAACCCCCAAAACAGTGTGGCCTGGGAAGAGGGAGGGAGGAAGAAGGCAGCACATTGATAACATTGATCCTTTCTCAATACATCCTTTCCCAGTGACAAGACAAACCCTGGGAAGGAAAAAAACATCACCCAGTGACAAGACAATCCCTGGGGAGGAGAGATCCATCAAGTCTAAAATGACAGTCTCTGGGAAGAAGCCAAAGCATTGATCCTTACCCAAATAAATCCTTTCCCGGTGACAGTACAATAGACCCTGGAGGGAAAGAGATAAGCACTGAATGCTGATTCTGGACCCTTTCTCCTTGCCCAGTAAAAACAAACTTCAAATTCTCACAAACTGTTTCCTGAGTGCCCAAATTGATATGTTCTGATAAAGTCTTCAATGGTTAAGTCATCTCCCAGTGCGTAACCTGTATAAAACCAGACTTCCCCTGTAATGGGGCCATTTTCTACTCAGAAAGTGAGCTCTCTGATGCCTGACTCCCCTGCTGAGCAAAGGCTTGGTGGAATTCCTGAGATCTGCACCTGTCCTGGTCACTTTTGTGCTTACAACTATGGTACAACACTGCAATTACAGATCCCTAACCTTAAAACAGGTGAATTTTATGCTAAGTAAATTATACCTCAATGTAGTTATTTTAAAAAATTAAGGCTGCCATTCATAGATATTCAACTCCAGTAGTGGCAGCAGTTCAAAGAATATTATTCCTTCTGATAATTTTTGTAATTCTTCTGTAATCTCAATAAGAATTCTTCCTTTCAAGGAAAAGAAAGTGTGTGCTTTGTAATATATTTTTCAATAGTGCTTAAGAAGTTTTTTTCTATCCTTGCCCTAGTCCCAGGCTCTTAGTTGTCTATGGCTCTAAGGAAAATTATTAGACAGCTCACAGCTAAAACCCAATCGTTTCCTGAAAAATAGTGACACACATGAAGAAATATATTTTAAATGTTCAAGAGAAGACTCCCAACCCAGAAGCATAAATTTCACGGTATTTGGATCAATTTTAAAGGCAAAAATCTCAAAGCTGGTCAAAGTGTCTTAACAATGTAAAATGTTCCTTCTAATTTTGTTTCTCACTGCTGGGACTAGGAGATGCTGTTTTGGTACATAGGGCAAAGTCATGCTCTAAGTTATGCTCCAGCATCGTGGAATGGAAGGTTTTCAGGATGCAGATCCTTGGTTATGTCGTAAAAGCCATGCACTCCTGCTCCAAATTCATCAGCACACAGATACAGCTGTGTTCTAATGCAATTTTTCAAAGGAGAGAAGAAGAGTTCATTGCAGGCCTTCATGCTCCTGGAATTAACTCTGATGGAACACAGAAACAGAAAACTATTTCTATTGTTAGTAGCCAAGGTTTTTTTGTTTGTTTTTTGTTTTGTTATAAATTTATTTAGTTATAACTTAGTCCTATATATTCATGTGTTTGGTACATATCTTTAAGCAAGTTTCACTTCATTTAACTTGCATTCTTTCATTTCACTTTAGATTGACAAAAATTGGGCCAGGCACAATGGCACACACTTGTGATCCCAGAGGCTCAGGAGGCTGAGGCAGGAGGATCA